TTAGACCACTGAGCCATCTCACCAGCCCCAGCCCCACTTACTCTTGACAAATAGAATTTTTATGTCCATTCAATCGAAGAGTCTCTTACACCTTTCTGGGCCTATTCATTTGCAGGTAGGCAGGAGAAACTATAGACAGGTTCTTCTATCATATGTTTATATAGGATGCCCCATCTTCATATACTGTCCAGTTTCTTCAAAATAAATGGAGTGACTTGCAGCAGGGCTATGTAGATGAGGAAGTTCCGTATGGAGCAAATCCAATGGGTGCCCATCTTCCGTTTCATCTCTTCAGGGTCCAGCTTCAGGGCGAGGCCCTTGATCCGAGACATCTTCACTCTGCACACCTTCCAGCTGCTGCGCTTTGCTCTCTCTACTGTTCATTGCTGGGACAAAATACCCAACACCCAAAGTGAAGGAAGGAAAGATCTGTTTAGCTCCCAGTGTGTGGAGGTTTCAGTCTATACTCGGCTGGCTCCTAGACAGAGCGGCACAAGGCAGAGGGCAGCAGGTCATGGCTGAGGAAAACAGCAAAACAGCAAAACAGCAAGAGCAAACGGGAGAAGCAGTGGCGGCAGCAGCAGAAAGCAAGCCTCTCTCCTTCCTTATATTGCCTTCAGGGCAGGAGTACCACTCACACCCATAGTCCCAGCACTGGGTCATGAACTAATCAGAAACTCTAAAAGTCCACCCCATGACTGCATGAGGCTTTGGGGGAATGACTAGACACAATCAATAACACCCTTTCACTTCATTCTTTTAATAAACCTAGTCAGAAAGTCTCTTTGGTAACTTGCAGGTCCCCTCGCAACTATTTGAAGCTATTTCTGGTTTTTTTTTTTTTGGCGGAACCAGGGATTGAACTCAGGCCCTTGCGCTTGTCAGGGAAGCACTTATTCCACTGAGCCATCTCCCCGGCCCCATTGAAGCTATTTCTTTGCAATAAACACTCCTCTTTTTAATTTTTAAAATCTTTTATATATTTATTTGCTGCAGGGTCTCCTTATGCAGCTTGGACTTGTAGTGATCCTCCTGTCTCAGCCTCCCCAGCACTGGGATTACAGGCATGCACCACCACACCCAGTTTCAGTGGCTGGCACAGTGTTCCCAGGATTCTGTTGCTGGCACAGCATGTGGTACTGGGGATTGCACCTGGGTCCTTGAACTTGTGAAGCAGGCACTTAGACTGCCAAGTTATCTTCCCAGCCCAATAAATACTCCTCTTTGCCTCCTTGTTTTGTCTTCCAGTTCAATCTTCAACTTCATGATACACTGACTCAGGCTATGCTATACACAGTGACTGTGGATCAATGTATTTATTGCATAAATACAGAAACAAATAAAAACAAAACTTGAGATTAATTTATTCGTGCCAATTTTTTTTTTCATAGGCAAGTATCTGAGATTC